GTTAAAAACGACTTCGCCAACAGCCTTGTTTGAATTGCCCACACTACACATTATAATTCGGTCGTATACAGAATAATAACTCCAGGATTGTTTTGATCAGATTAGCATCCCTAGTGTACACTCAGTAACGCTCAATTAAAGTGATGTATATTCCGCTCGATATGCCTTTCATTCTGGTTATGAGACTGGTGTAGTATCCCACTTCCAGGCGGCGGTGCTTGTTTCGGTTACTGTGCATCTCACCAGACTTACGTGACCCGTGAAGATCCGGGTTAGAATTGGTCTTCAGAAACCATTGCTTGTCTCCCCCGTGAAGATCCGGGATAGAATTGGTCTTCAGTAACCACTGCTTGTCTCCCCCGTGAAGGTCCGGGATAGAATTGGTCTTCAGTAACCACTGCTTGTCTCCCCCGTGAAGATCCGGGTTAGAATTGGTCTTCAGTAACCACTGCTTGTCTTGTCGGCCCCGTGTAAAGATCCGGGTTAGAGTTGGTCTTCAGTAACCACTGCTTGTCTCCCCCGTGAAGACCCGGGATAGAATTGGTCTTCAGTAACCATTGCTTGTCTCCCCCGTGAAGATCCGGGATAGAACTGGTCTTCAGTAACCCATGCTTGTCGTAAGAGGCGACTAACGGGATCGGGTGGTCAGGCTCACGGACTTGGTTGACACACATCATCGTGTCCAAATAGCGTAAATCGATGCTCGTGCTGTTGATCACTGGATTGTCTGGTCCAGACTCGATTATTCACAGACGGCCGCCAGTAGCTGGAATATTGTGAGTGCGGCGTTAGCCAACAAACCAACCAAACCAACTACATGACTCACATTAACGGGATAACTCCATATACGATTCACAGAATTATTGCACAACAAATGTACTGACATCTCTGCAACAGAGAAACACCCCAATGTGCAGCAAAAGACCACAAGCTGAGACATGGAGGTAAATTAGAGTCAAGTTGTTGTCAGCGAGGTGAGTGAGTGACTTTAGGTTTAACGCTGTTAACGATATTTCAGTGATAAGACGGGATGCGCTACAAACGACGCCAAGACTAACATATTAACCTGGAAACCAATGACAAAATGCTGTGTCCAGGTAATAAACTGGCTCTTTGGAGAAGGAATAACAATATCAGGATCAATGTTCGAGAAAATGTAATGTTTAAGGAGCATTTATACAATGCAGCAACAAATAGACAATGAAAGGAGTGCCCTCTCGACAACACATCTAATTCCAGTTACTACTCTATTGCAGCGGGCTGTTAAACCTTCTGTAGCAGCGTTTAGCCAAGGATCTGCACTGCACTGGTATAATTAGTTGGGGACCGTCGGAAAGCCATTGATAACCACGAACATGTCGGTTCCATACTGATGAGGCTGTTGGTTGTCTGCCTCGTGACTTGCAGGCACCACCTCAGCCGTCTCAGCAACAGAAAACAGCGGGTTACACTGTCCAGGTTGCTGCTACTGGTTTGATACTATTTAAGATGTACTACGTGGTTCCACTGCAGACCCTGCCCTATTTAATATTGTAATGTATTCTATTCTCGGTGTGCATTCTTTATATAATTACCTGCATTTTATGCAGGTGACAAGGTATTATGGCCCTTCATTATCGCTGAGCCAGAGAAAATATTCTGTCCCTAAGGAAAAGGCGGTGTACCATGCATGATGGTTCGGTAACAATGAAGTGAAGTCTTACCACGAGCAGTGTCATGTTGTTAACTCAGGATAAAACGTCTCTCTTCATTTAACAGTACTAGTTTCGAAGATATGATTCTAGACTGTGATGTCAATGTTACCTTGCTTGGTGACGATATTGGCGACATGGTGTAGATATTGAACTCTACAACTTATACCACTTTGTGTAGGAAAGCTGCTTAACTAATAGTTGTTATAGCATTGTTCGCTATTTACAAACCTGACTTTAGTTTCAACTACTGTCCCTTTACTGGCCAACTTTATTTTTTACCAAAACCAGCACTACAAACACCTCAATACAAAACCAATTGTTTCTATAGTCCGTTTGGCTCAAAATCGGACCGATGAATTGCAATCTAACTCGAAAACTACTAAACATATACATGTAATACTCAATGAAACACTGATCAGACCAACCTCAGACCAACTCTGATTTTCTTTCAGAATTTATGTCCTAAAAATGAAAAAGTTGTTTAACAAACTATCACAGTTTTTTTGACAAAGTTAACTATTTGTTACGATGGAGGACTGCAAAGAGAAGAATAGCCATGTGTACGCGGAGCACGTGCACAAGTGCCGACAAAGTTATTGAATCATTTACCTGTGCTGTCTCCATCCTTTCTCGCACACCTGGCTGTTCCTCTCTTTGCACCCCTCCCTCGTAACAAATAGTGAACTGTGTCAAAATTTTAATGATAGTTAAACAACTTTTTCATGTTTAGGACCTAAATTCAGCAAAAAGAGTGGGTATGATGTTTTGATTATGATCAGTGTTTCATTGAGTATTATATGTTTAGTAGTTTTCGAGTTAGATTGCAATTCATCGGTCCGATTTTGAGCCAAACGGACTATAATAACTACGACAGACCTCCCCCAGGCTATCTTTAGCTGGCACCATCTTCACAGCAATCGACCTACTGCTCCAGACAGGATTTACAACGGTTGGCATAGTGATAAAACATCTTACATTTGTCAGCGTATAAGACGTCCAGGAACTGGTATTATATGCCGAATGGTTGGACTCATATCGAGAAATTTTGTAAACATTTCAGAATTGTTAATTCTCATAATAAAATGGTCTATATACAGTTCATCGTACAAACATGTCAGTCAAATTAATATCACATACATGCGCTTGTAATAATTTCTTTATTTTACATTATTTCTTAATCCTTTTGAGCTCCCCTCTAGAAAAATAGTCACGACTATCTTAGAAAACCACAATGACGTCAACATTCTGACATCTAGACGTCGTTTCTAGTGTGATTGTTGGTACGAGTCCCGGTTCGTCACAATCATGTGTCGAGGTTTGCAGACATCATACCTGTGCTCGCGGGTTTCGCCAACGTGGAATAGCGGTACTACAACCAACCACGTGACAGTACCGCTGAAAGGTACTGATCCTCGTTAATGGGTATTCAGGTACACAAATATGTCATGCAGGATCACGCAAAAAAGAGGTTTAAAAACATTCAGTTTGTATCACACATTACTATTAATGTAATATTAATGTGTTTTAAGGATGACCTAGAACAAGTTGCACATAACGTCACCATTATTGGAACCGAACTCGTGCAGTGCATGTGATCAGCAAACGCACCAATTACTGGGCTAACGAACTTGTATACATGTCCGTGAGCAAGGGCCTGCAGCTGTTTATGAGAAACACGTGTCCCCCAGCGTTCGGAAAAGCACGCCATTTACATGACCAGAGACCATGAAATAAAGTACTAGTAATGTATTCTATGATCTCTGAGGTGACCGACATTGCTGCTGTGGCCTGTGTGCCAGTTTAAAGTTATACAACGAGCCAGCTGGCCTTTCCCTAGTGTGACGACTGAAGCATCACAGCTGAGTTACAGGCAGTACTCCAGAACACGATTGCCACTTGTTTAAAGGCACACTATGATGAGTGAGTGAGTTTAGTTTTACGCCGCACTCAGCAATGTTCCAACTATATGGCGGCGATCTGTAAATAATCAAGTCTGGACCTGACAATCCAGTGATCAACAGCATGAGCATCTATCTGCGCAATTGGGAACCGATGACGTGTCAACCAGGTCAGCGAGCCTGACCACCCGATTCCGTTAGTCGCCTCTTACGACAAGCATGGTCGCTTTTTGTGGCAAGCATGGGTTGATGAAGACCTATTCAACCCCGGATCTTCACGGGTCCACTATGATGAAGACACAATGGGTGTTCTAGCAAATTGGTTCAAAGTTGCTCCAGACCAAACATCTTTGTCTGCGGAAGTCACTTTTATTAATGATGGGGTATGAATCAAGTAGTCGGTTATCAAACCGAAGATATTTCTCTTTGGCGCATGCACTCAGAATGTAAAGAACGTCGTTCGAGGAATTGGTTATTCTCGATAGTCTCCTTGGAACGAGGATTTATAGGACGCTTCGATCACAATGATATTCTGCTGTACTACCAATAAGGCGAGCAACGTGAATGAGGATATGATTTTACTCACCTTTAGCAGTATTCCAGCAATGTCATTGCAGAAATCGGCACCATATATTTTACCCTGACGAGCTCTCGATTAAAAACAACTGTTACCTCATCTTGTCCTCAAAAGTGTCAGCTAGTTTTCGGGGGATGTTGCTGATAACGGTTGAATTCGAAGATAATCAGTATTAAAATCCCGCTAAAGTGGTGTATGAATATACAGTGCCTTTTAGAAAGCTGTCAGACGTAACGCATGTTATATTTGGGATTACACTTTCTCAGTAAAGTACAGATTCTAGTACTTTTGATGGATTGAGTCCCATCCGGGATTCGAAACCAGATTCACAGACTCAGGCACGTAATCGCAAGCACACAAAGTCAGCCGTCTAACCCGCTCAGCCAACGCAGCTTCCACAAAAATGGAAGGCGGACAACTGGTAGTCAGGACCACTGACTTTGTGTGGGACTATTTTATTTTATTTACCATCGCGATGTTGAAGCCGGCATTAATGTTTTAAGCTCTCCATCCTTTGGGACTAGATGAGGTGGCTGGGGTAGATGAGGTAGATGAGAGACAGCCCCGTAAATATAATATCAATTAAAATATACAGCATGACTCTTTTTTTGTTACATTGGAACTTCCTGATATTTCGAAAAAGGAAAATCAGACACACTTCTATGAATATTTTGCTCGCATGTCAAAAGAGAAGCCTCAACGTTAATTAGTAGGCTCATCAGGCGTCACAGCAAACTCCGCCAGTTGGCCCACGGCAGTCTTGTCTATCTAGTGGTTAGCTCATAAAAATATTGTAATTAAACCTGCAACAATATATTGCAATCAGTCCACGAAGTTTGATGTGTTCTTTATTATACCCTTTCTTTGATAACATGCTTCCAAACCCTGAATTTCCATTTCAGAGTTCACATCACTGAATATCTCCGAGCATGAAGGCTCGTACTTTTCTTGCTCGATCTCCTCTTTCAAATAGCTGAACGCTTCCTGTTACTATACTCATGGAGAGATCAGGCTCAAATTTGGCAGAAGGTGGGTTACGACCGTAGGCAATGGCGACCTCCCTCAGATAGTAGGAAGCGCTGCCACAACACAGACCGATGTACTGTACACCCAACTCCCGGGCTTCTGTAGCAAACTGGCGGATCTCAGCTCGAGTACACTGCAGGGGAGCTAACTCTGCTGGGTACGCCTTGGCTCCTGGACAGAAAATGGTATTTAGACTGTCAGAATAATATATTGTCAGTATATCGACATATTCTAAGCAGGCATAAACAGTTAAACAACTGTAACCCATATTTTAATAGAATAATCATATATAGGAGGGTGAAACTACGGAGATCACCATCAACACCTGTTCCTACCTGTCACGGGGTCTGTGAGGCACTGGAAGCACTTTTGTTGTGGCGTGGTGCGGAAGATGACGGGAAGAGCGGCGATAGGGCCCTGGACAGACAGAGAAAATAGTTCCACAACAGCTTGTGCTGAAGTGTATGGATGTTTGTTGGAAGGAAGGCGTGGAGATCTTTGTCCTCAGATCAGAAAGGTCAGATCAAAGGAATCCTTTGTCCTCAAAGAGTGAAGATCCTGGAAGTTCTTTGTCCCTCGGGACAAAGTCAAGATCTCAAAGTCACTGTCCGACAAAGGTCAAGATCTTTGTCTCGAAAGTAAAGGATCTTTCAAAATTAAAGATCTTTGTCAAAGAAGTAAGATCAGATAGACTCGAAGTCTTTCCGGAACAAAGGATCACTGTCGAAAGTAAAGGTCTTTGTCCCGTTTCAGAAATTAAAGATATGTCAAGACAAAGATCTTTGTCCAGATAGAGATCGAAGATCTTTGTCAGAAGTCAGGTCTTATCGGATCCTGCAAAGAAATTGCGTGGCGGACAAGGCTTGGATCCTTGACCAAAAAGGTTTATCTATCGGTTTCTCCTCATCGTGATCTTCGGTTTCATATTCCGACTCGTCTTCGGTCAAAACTGAAGTCGGCTTGATGGTGTCCAGTTAAGTGAAAATATCAGTTAATTCCGGACTGGTCAGATCAGCCAGGGGACAGAACAATATCGACATTGAATCTGGACAATTATGGATCAAATTTTTTTCGAACGTTCAGGATTCAGGTCATAATTGCAGTTAATCGATTCCGGTGAAGATCGAGTTTTCGTTCCGAGGTCTTCCGTTAAGTCAAAACAAATCGAAAAATAAAGGCTTCGATTATGGAGGTTCAGACTTCGGATGATCTTGGATCGTTCTTTCGTATTGATTGACAATTGATAGATCCGTCGAACGTCCGTCAGGTCAGGTCGGATGATAATGATCGGTTGGGATAAACGTCGATCTTGAAGTGGTCTTTTATAAATGATTAATTGAATGGATAAATTGGCTGGTTTCAAAGTCGGGTCGAAACAAAGATCAGGATCGTTTGTTCAGACATCATAAATTATCAAAATTTCAGGATCATAAAGTGGATGGTTCTAGATCAATCAACATTTGGTTTCAGATCGCTCGGTTTTCCATAGATGTCACAAGATTATGTGCTGCGGCAGTTGGTAATAGGTGGTATGCTGGAGATGTTCCTTATGTGATGATAGCAGATTTTATAATAGTTAGGCTCAATGGAAAGTGTAGAATCTATCAGGACACCCAGATATTTACACTTTGGGAGGCTCACAGAGATCTGAGATTCACCTATTCAAGTGAATTCACGCTCAGTTCGCTCTGTTGACAGGTGAACTAACCATGAGAGCTCTGTTTTGATATCGTTTAGTTTGAGTTTACTGCTGTCATCCATGTCTTCACATTCCCTACACACACTACATTTTGCATTATTGACAAGGAGTAAGAAAATACCCCATCGTGTCCATCACAATAAAGAAGATGACATCCATAAAATTCTTGTCTTTACATGTAGCACTTCTAAATGCCATTCAAAGACTCGATAATAACATTTTCGGAATCGTACAATAGGATCTGCTTGTAATGTGACTTCTTTTGATAATGGAAATGCATATGCTGTCGTGGTTATGTCAGTGGCGAGTATACCCCGGTTTGTTGCAGAATGATGCTCACAAGTCTGCTGGGACACTGTTGTCTCTGTGGCCTGACGTCCTCTTGATACATTATCGCCAGGCCATCACGACGAACGACAATACATCGGCATTTAGAAGTGATGTAAAGGTGAGAATGTACTCTTTCATCAGGTGACAATGCGGTTTGCAGATTCATCCCGATAACAAACGACTGTGGTTTGTTATTAGGAACAACGACACAATCAGCGCTTCGAAGGCCATCTTGAACGAAGGTGATCGCTGGCCAAAACCACCACCATCACCACTCCAACCGACCGAAACGGTGCCGCTTCCTGAAACATGTCTGGGGATAGCGGTCACCCGCGGCGTCAGTATAATCAGGATTCTGCCGTCTACGCGGTCTCTGAAGAAAAAACTGGAGTATATCTGGCCACTTGTCTCCATTGACGTGGACGAACATGATGTCTAAACGTACATGTTGTCTTCGCCATGGCGGTGTTCTTCCAAAACCGGAAGTTGTAGTGTTTTGTACTGACAATAGTCGTGTATCGCTCATACAAGTCAATATAAACACATTTGACACTCATGAACCAAGTAGGCTGACCACCCGATGTCATTAACCGCCCGTTACAGGTAACCAGTTACAGCAAGGATCATCGAAACCGAAGCATGAGTCTCATTAACCTATTCAGACAATGACCTACTTTTCAGCCGATCCGAATTTTCTCGTGTGAAAGTGAAAAGAGACATCACAAACAACTATGGTTACACTGAATTCCAATTCCTTGTTTGAAAATAAAATGGTATTTACAAGTTAAATTTTAATTTTTAATTTTAATCACATCGTATTTCTATATTTTATGGCGAGGTGTAGGCAACATGACCTTAACTAAGACGTCACAGACTGCCCCTGTTTGATGAGGTCGTAAAATGATTCATAATTCATTTGGCTCACTGGTTACACCTGTTATGTGTTTTTGCGCTTATTCAGTGTAGTTTTGTAACGCATGTGATTGATATAATATCAAGTCCGTACCAGACCGCCAAACTTTTCTAGCAGCAGAACCTCGTTTTTGAGATTTCCACGATTTTTCAGATTTCCGTCTGTCAGAGCAAGCTGTACGACAGAGCACGCTGCACGACGTGTTTGTAAAGATTAGAAAGGCGATGTAGTGTTGCAATATACAAGTGCTTAGATGTATCAAATAATACTGATTAATACTTATGTATCAGTTGAATGAATTGGTCTCAAAATTCGGGACTGGTTATTGTACAAAGTTGCGCAACAGGACGAAACCCAGTCAGCAGGAAACGAGACTGTTGTGTAATCAATGTTTTCACTTGCTTAGTGTTGTCGCCAATATCACAGGCGTTGGTAGCTGTTAGTGAAGATGGTTGACATCGATCGCTGAGATGGGAAAGTTTGTCATGATGGTCGCGCGATGTAAATGTCTGACGTCATCGGTTTGTTAGTGCCTCTTCCACAGATTCCATGATGTGCCAATAACTGCAATTACTGGACAGCCAACGTCAGTAAATCATGTTATGGGTTCAAACCAAGTTCCTAACACTTCAAATCATGGCAGCCAAACAAAAAACCAAAAAGCCAACAACAACAAAACAAATAAAAATGGTATGGTATTGAACCTGTCGAAATAATATATCCGGTCTCAGACGTAAAATTTCACGTTTCATCAATGCTTTCGTGCAGTACTGACAACCATGCCTGCTGCGATCCTCAGATAAGACACAATCGGAAACTTGGGCCTAGATTTTCGAAGCTCTTAGCGCTAAGATAGTCGTAAATGCCATTCATTAACATTAAATTACGACTATCTTAGCGCTAAACTTCGAAAATCAGAATGAGACAATCAATTACATGTCATGGTAACTTTTAGGTGTAAACATAAATTGTCTTCTGACATCTGCACTGACAACGTATCCGAACTCATATCAAGAGTTCGCTTGAAATTGAATGTTTTTGATATTGTACTTTTTTATTAATGAATTACGTCCCCGGGTCGCAACATGCTCGACGACGAGTCGAGCAGATTCTTTAAAAACAAGAAAAGTTTGGCAGATTACCAAGACTCGTTATTATCTGAATATTTGATTACCACAGCATGTGGTTCTGATGATGTTATTCACATAAATGTTGTACAAACGGACATTAAAAAATCAAAGAAAGTAATCATTTATGATAAAAATTAAACACTAAGAATGTAATAACCTTTTATCACAACAATACAAAACATGATTCATTTACACCAGTTATATGAAATATAGAGAATTAATATGTCGAGTCTAAATAAAAATATACCTCTTCACTCACCTAACCCACAGAACAGAATGGTTGATAAGCATAAGTACCAACACTGGGAAAATGTCAGCTGACTCGTTCTGGTTACGAAGGCGCACCATTAGATTAGCTGATGTGTTCCCGACAACACACTACATTTATTTGATATCTTCACCGTGCCTTGTTTGTTTACGAATACCGCCGCGTGGCAATGGTACCTGAAATTAATAAAATAGTACGGCTGCAAATACCCCGCATTTTTAGGCGGGGTACTTCCAGAAGTAAGTCTGGGCATGCGTACCTTTCCCGAACATCTGGTGTGCGCCACTGACGTTCAGTTGTCCTTTCATATGATGTTCACAGCCACCATTTTGCCCTTGATGCCAGTGGGATATGCTTTGGATGATAGTAAAGAATGGGTATTTGCTTGTACTGACAGTTCAACATACAATGCCGCCATCGTTAAATATAATTATATCAATATACCACACATTAGAGACACGATACAGTTTCTTAAGCAACTTTTCCCGTGGTGAATGTGAAAACAGGAGACATTGCTACAGGTGCAAGGTATATATTGCTGTGTACCCTAAGGAACATTTTGATAAACCGAGTTTCGGTTGTTACCGCAATTCGTCCTTCACTTTGGGAAACAAAGGACGATAGTAGGATGTGAAGTAGGATGTGTGAAGGAGGATGTGAAGGAAGATGTGAAGTAGGATGTGAAGGAGGATGTGAAGTAGGATGTGAAGGAGGATGTGAAGCAGGATGTGAAGGGAGGAGTGTGAAAGGAGGATGTGAAGTAGGATGTGAATGAGGATGTGAAGTGAGGATGTGAAGAGGATGAAGCAGGATGTGGAAGTGAAGGAGGATGAAGTAGCATGTGAATGTAAGGTAGATGTGAGAAGGAGGATGTGAAGGAGGATGTGAAGGAGGATGTGAAGGAGGGAAGTGTGAAGGAGGATGTGAAGTAGGATGTGAAGGAGGATGTGAAGGATGATGGATGTGCAGGAAGAAGTAGGATGTGAAGAAAGATGTGAAGGAGGATGTGAAAGAAGGATGTGAGGAGATGAAGAAGAGGATGTGAAGTGAGGATGTAAGAAAAGGAGGATGTGAAAAGAGGAAGTGAAAGAGAAGGAGTGAAGGAGGATTTGAAGAGGATGTGAAGGAGGAGGATGTGATGAAGCAGGATGTGAAGAGGAAGGATCGTGAAGTAGGATGTGAAGGAGGATGTGAAGTAGGATGTGAAGGAGGATGTGAAGCAGGATGTGAAGTAGGATGTGAAGGAGGATGTGAAGTAGGAGGTGTGAAGGAGGTTGTGAATCAGGATGTAATGAAGGAGGAAATGTTTAAGGAGGGATGTGAAGGAGATGTGTGAAGCAGGATGTGAAGGAGGATGTAAAGCAGGATGTGAAAGTAAGATGTGAAGGAGAATGTGAAGTAGGATGTGAAGGAGGATGTGAAGGAGGATGTGAAGTAGGATGTGAAGGAGGATGTGAAGTAGGATGTGAAGCAGGATGTGAAGTAGGATGTGAAAGAGGATGTGAAGGAGGAAGTGAAGGTGGATGTGAAGTAGGATGTGAAGGAGGATGTGAAGAAGGATGTGAAGGAGGAGAGGATGTGAAGGAGGTAGTGATGTAGGTGAAGCAGGATGTGAAGTAGGATGTGTGAAGGAGGATGTGAAGTAGGATGTGAAGCAGGATGTGATCTCCTCCTCAAATCAGATCTTTTTCTCATCGTCATCCCGGGTCGATCCAGATCACTCAGATCGCGCGTCATCCGTCATCGCTCGTTCTTTCCTCCATCGTCATCCGGGATCGCGTCATCGGATCGTCATCACTCGTAGATCCGGCGCGTCCTGGATCGTTTCCGGATCCCGTCTTTTTTTGGG